TTTATATTTTAAAACAACCCGTAAATGGCCCGAGTCCGTCGGGGTACCAGGGATTTCCTTTCTAGGGTACACCTGGTTCCCCGTCTAATGGTACCCGTGATGGCGTGCGATTTAACAGACTCCGTGACGGAGTACGACATAACCACCCCACCGGTTGTCCGGAGGGTGGTATTATAAAAAAAGTTGTAAAAGTAATGTAAAACAGAGTAAATCAGTATCAATATTACTTTAAATTTTCGAATGTTTTAGAAATTGTTTGAAACTATGAAGGCTGGATAATAATTAAAATTCTAATACATTTAATGAACATGTATTAAGTACATACTTTAATTCTGTTCTAGGTTCAGAAACAACTTAAATGTGTTTAACATTTGCGATCAGATATTTTTGTATTTTTTCCTCATGCCCACAGCGATATAACAAGATCAAACACCATTATGTCTAGAGCTAGTAATTAAAAAACGTAACAAAAACGCTCGCAAATATTAATCGTGTAAATGCCACGAAAACAGTTTAATAAACAAAAAAAAATGTTTCGATTGTTTGAACTTACAAGAACCTGTATTAGGTATATTTGCATTAATTAACGCCCACGTTTGATTGGATTTGAATGCGCAGCGATTGACTGAGCGTTAGTAAGTTGAATATTTACTTCAAATGAATATTCAAGCGCTTGTTTTGAATTGAACGGCGGGATTTGGTTTGGATATACTCATTTGGATTTATCGTTCTATTACTGGAGTACTGGGGGAATCTAATTTTTACACTTGATATTAATGTATACTTACACTTTGCTAGTGAAATAGAGTAAGTAACTTACTTGACACAAATACCCAAAGATACATGTGCATATGCACGTTTCATCATCATCATCAACAGCCTATAATAGTCCACTGCTGGGCATAGGCCTCTCCTCAGAAAGGAGGTTTTGGCCTACGCTGGCCAGACGGGTTGGTATAGGGTTAGTTTTTTTTAAGTTTTCCTTCTCTTTGCAGTGGTGTTGTCCTGCGTAGTTTGCTCCCTTAGTCGCTCCTTACCCACCCACGGGATGAATAGGGGTGGTGACATTCCGTATTCTTAATCCGTCACTACCACGCGCTTACGTTTGAGTAAAGTTATCAAATAAACTGTGTGACATAATGTGTAGCTTAACTTCGTAGAGCATATTGCATACAGGTGCTTAGCGCTGATATTCAGCCAAACAAGTAGTAATTCATGCATATAAACTTAATATATTATCAATATATTTACAATTTACACGTACTTTCATTTCAATATTTGTTTGCTTTTCCAGCATTAATAAAAAAATATGAGGTTTATATATGACGTTATCTATTTATTTATCAAAATTCGTTCAAGTCAAGTTTAAGTCAAGTCATGGTACCTTTACAGAGATATTACATGCTCTCAAGTCGCAACCGATTGTCTATAGGAAGCGAACGAAATAATATCTTTATCACCTTTCTTTTTTTGTCGATGGGTTGGAAAATCAATACAGGATGGCCCACAATTTTTCACTAAAACCACCATGACCGCTGGTCTTAAGCACCCTACTTCGAGGGGGACCCGGACCATGTTATTTCAGGTCTTTCAAGGATCGATGCCGCACCTAATAAGGCTCTATCCCTTGGGGGAAGAAGCCCGAGGAACAATAATTATATGTTGCGTCCCGATCGCATGGGTTAGATAGTCATCGTTTGATATCTAATTTTTGGTTGTTGATTTACATTAGACGCTGTCTGTAAACCAAAAAAACAAGTTCTTAAAGAAAGGGTTGTATAATTAATATGGCATTTAGGATAATTAATCTTAGATAAGACATAATATGTAGATTTGATACTGGTCTATGATATATTTGATCAAATGTAGAAGCTCTTAAATTGAATGGCGCTGATTTTTTTTAAATTGAGGAGGTATATTTGAGGTTATGGATAGGAGGTTAGGTCGATATTCGTCAATTTATTCTGTTTTTTGAAATCTGTTACTGTACGAGTATATTCTGTTGTTTTGCAACGGAATATACTCATATTCATTTTAAATTCTTAGTTCTGTGCTGTAGTGTTGAATACATAGTATGTTTTCCAGATTTCACTGGTATATCGATAGTTATAGTAAAACTTTAATAAATTAGATTGTGAATACTAAGGTTAGCCTTCCCACCTAGGAAAAATATCTGATTCTGTTGTTTTTTTTCTGGGTTTAGTAGTCTGGATATCATATAGGATAGGCTTCCCTAGTTTAAGATCAGACAGCCGTGTGTTAGATGTGCACTGATGTGTGATATTTATTTCACACACTGATGCCTGATACCACATCACAACAAAAAAAAACTAAAAAAACGTTATTTTAGTCACAAAAAACAGCTTCTGTTTTTTTGTTAATTCCTCTGTCTGTCTGTCTATCTATCTCTGTTTGTCGGTCTGTTTGTGCCCTAGCCGCACATTACTTTGAAACTAAGGTATCTTTTTTTTCTTTTTTTCTTTTTATAAAAAGACAACCTCCGCTCTAGGAATATATCCTATATATATATAAGACATCTCCCGCATTAGGAATATATCCTGTGTCGCGGGGGACTTACAAACATACAACATACAACTTACAAACATACATGAAACGGACACAAAGAACACCCACATTCAGAACAACAATTTATGGATCACAAAAAGTGTCGTCCTATCTGGGGATAGAACCCACGACACTCAGCGTAGTAGGAAGCGGCGTGGCGACCGCTTAAACCACTACGCCATCCGTGCAGTATGGTATGGATTCAAATTAAGCTTGGAATGCGTTGAGTATATATTGCAAAATAAGACTTTTTATCCAGCAAGAGGAGGGATACAGGGCACATACATGAGTACAGACACTATAAACATTGAGCCAATTATGATTTTAGGCATAGAGATAAATAATCACTTGGAGGAGATGGGCTAATTTTTGTAGTAAAAAATTTACTCGAAGGTAGGGGATAGGGGAAGAAATTTCGCACGATAGACTCTGTATTTTTCAAGTTTATTTTGAGACCTTTTGGCAAATAAATAGAAAAAAGGTATACTTTAGACGCGAAAATATACTTTCCTATCGACAAAATCGCTGATCAAAGTTTGTATCAAACACAAATAATTTAACAAATTTAGGGAAAGAAACATTTATCCTATACTCGTTGGAGTGCTCAGCATATGAATAGGGTTATGACCTCGCGATGTCTCTCGATAGGAGAAATTTCTCGAAGAACATGTGCATATCACTTTAAAGTGTAGATATATTTATAGTTTATTAAAAAAAAACTCTCTTCTATCTTCTAACTATTTTGTCCATTTTGCATAATGATATGCCTAACTAAATTACGCAATTAACACTTCTTCTATAATATTTTTGAAATTACATTTCACTTAAGTTTAAAAGTAGTAGTTTAGTTAGTTTAAAAGTATCTACTCGCACCGTTTGATAAGTGAATAGAAGTAGATTGCTAAAACTTTTATTGACGCATTATTTTTGTAAAGGTTTTCATTTACGCTTAAAAGGTAGACATAAAATCTTGGACTTTTCCTCCCTACATTCTCTAAGTAAAAAGCTTTTGAAATGAAATGTAGGACGCCTTCAATGATTAAACCTTACTACAGTAAGTAAATCTAAATGGTAGGAAGAAATCAGTCTACTTAATTTATTTGAATAAATCTTTAAAAAAAAATCCCACCCCGAGATTTGGTTCAACTATTTTTAGAAGTAGAAATTAATATATTGTAAAAGCATTGACGCTTCACCATTAAAAAAATGGGACTTATTTACAGTCATAAGTTAGAAAACGACAATTCATGTAACCTAGCCATCGACAAAAAATATTCATAAACGATAACTGTAACGAAGGTAACTAAATACGATAGCTATTATTTAACGTCCAGTTACGTCTTTTGAGAAAGAAAAACTTTCGAGCTTTCATAATGTTATTTTTTTCCCGCCGACTAACAGCTTTAACTACTTAAACCAATTTCTCTTACCGTTGGCGTGTACCAAATCAAATAACCCTCAAATCCAGTAAAAGCAAAGTTAGAAGAACAATAAAATAATGTTCGGTCAGCCGGGACAATCCACTCAATGTACTTGCCACAACAACTTGTTAAGTTGCGGACTAGTTGTGACTTGTTCCGCGTCTCTATGTTACAGCATTGTTACTGAAAATAGAATTCACTGCACTTGGTTATCTCTTGAGTTGTCCGGCATTTAATTAAGAGTTCTCGCTCGAGAATACGCTGTAACGTCTTTGGACTACTTCTTTACTTTAAAATCTGAAACTGATATGAGTCTTCTATCTAGTAAATAAACTTTGAGTATTACAAATTCTTATTATATTATGGTTATTAAAAGCATTGAGGATTCGTAATACTACAGTGATGTCTAATAAGGTTATGCGCGAATGATCCAGGGGATTTGCGATAATTGTTCACTTTCTAATATTGAATTTCATTACATGATAATTGAAGCGCATCTTGGGACTTCCGCTGTTACGTGTCTCTATGTGTGTTTGTGTGGGTCCATAGATGATGTGGATTTTCGCTTGGACCCAGTCAGAGCCTTTGTAATCGAATTAAACAATTTTTACGCCAGTATAATAAATTTTTTAGCGTAGGTATTTTACTGTCTAACTTCTAATGATTTTATTAATAAATAAGTTATATGTATACGAGACGTAAGAAAATTATAAGTGATTTATTTAATATTTGATATGCCCAACTGTATATGGTGTGTACTCATATGTGGTCTCAAATTTATTGTAAGCAAATCATGGAATGGACATCGTTGTTCTTGATACCGTTTGAAGCGGTCCATTGAGAATGGTGCCTCCACAATTGTGCCTTCAGGATGATGCAACGAATTAGGTGAACATGAGGAGAGGAGAGCTTTCTCTTTAAAGTAAAAGAAATGAAATAAAGAAAACGTTTCATAAAAATTATATTCTACTTGTCTCTTTCAATTGAAATATAATGATCTCATTATTAATATTTTTACAAAGGTATGGGCACATAGATCAATTCATTATAAGGTATTGAGTGGAAGAACTTTTTCATAGTATTTACAGAATACCCTACTGCAAAATCTAGGAATGGTTTTCCGAAATCCTGAACAACCGTTCTCCAGTTTTGATTTAGGACTTGCAGTACTGCGTCACCTAAGAAAGTCGATATAATAATTATTAGCCTCGACTCTAAGATAAATTTTTAATTTTATTATATACTAGCTATACTCAGCTATTCTGCGCTGTGGCATATTGGAGTTGAAAAAAAACCCAGATAAAAACAGAATCGTGTCAAACCTTACATTCTTAAATATATAGATTTAAACTAGCAAATTGGTATTTTTTACAAAAGAGTGTAATTATAGATTCTATTAATTTAAATACTTTATTTTTGCTTTAAAACGACAACTCTCGCATAAGAAATATATCCTGTGTCACGGGGGACTTTACAAACATACATGAAACGGACACAAAGAATACCCAAACTCAGAACAACAATTCGTGGATCATACAAAGTGTCCTCCCATGTGGGAATCGAACCCACAATACTCAGCGTAGTAGTAAGTGGAGTGGCGATCGCTTAAACCATGCATGCAACATGCAGTCAACTTTATTTTTGCTATAGGCGGGTTCCCAACATTTGAGCATATTTTTATATATTTTTAATCATTTGGCTTAATACTTACTAAGTTGCTTGTTCCCCTTGAAGAGATTTTTGAAATCGAAGAAGACATGATCGCCGTAATCGAAAGTGTATTTATAATTTTTAATACTGAAGTAATCTATGTTATTTTTATCTTTGATGTATTTTGTATTGATATCAAGGTTCATTTTGAGATTGGCTGGAACAAAGTAAAGTTAGTAGCCTTTAATAAACTAATTTATTTTGTGAAAGGTTAGAAATTGCGCGGATCAAATCTTAGACGAATCATCTGGGAAAGTTTCAAGTAGAACATCTTAGGTGTAATTGAAACTCGGGCACGCCGCTATTGCGGCGGCCGTTATGGAGGATCGGCGCGGGAGTTGGGTCGGATTCCTGAGACTCGAGAAATCGAAGACCAGAAATCCCAACTCCACCGGGTCCTCGTAGAGTCCTCGAGATCACCTGTGTCTGATCCGCAAAGAGCCAACGCCTGAGTTTTCACAGCGATGGCCGAGCCGTGGACACGGCACTCCATACGTTGGCAGAACGCATGGCGTGGGATGAGCAGAGGTGTGACCTCGTGGCGGCCATCGGAGTAAGAGTGCTCTCGCTTGGTATTGTGATGGCGGCCATGGTAAGGACCGAGAGCGCGTCGGACTCCGCTGTCTCCTCCTGTAAGCAAGTTATGTTTGCGGAGGGGACCGCGGAGTAGGAGCGGGAGAGATTTATAACTCTCCCGATTCGCCAGGCCCGGGAACGGGCCCGGTACCGCAGACGACTCAGGCGCCGGAGGTCGCAGAACAACCTCCGTTCTCCATAAGCGCAGGCCTGGGGGTGACAGATAAGGCCATCTGTCACCCTAGCAGAAGCAGGCCGGGTTGGCGGTGCGACGCGCTGTGAGCGCGCGTGCCCATTAGATTGCAGAACGGGAACACCGTGGTTCCCACACACGAGGGGGTCTCACCTGGTTCCCCGGCTACTGGTACGCGAGACGGAGTGCGGTTTTTCGTCTGTTCGTGTCCAAGATAACCACCGGTGAGTGGTATCCGAGGGGGTTGCCGCACAGACAAAAAAAGTGTAATTTGATCTCGTGAGCTTGCATGTAACTACTAATTATGATTGACTAAGTTGAGATGAGTTGCTTCAAAGTTTTCGAAAGGGCTTGAGTCTATAGATGTATATGCTCATTAATTACTCATTTTCTATATTAAAAAGCTGAATAGGAAGTAGTTGGTTAGTAGTGTTTTGTTATTACATCATTCCAGCTCCGAAGGTACTGACTTGTTAATATTGACAATTTGGAGTGTACAAAATGCTCTAAAATCAAATAGAAATATACAAAATTCCTACTTATATTTAATAAGTTGTTTGTCCCAAAAGTCTATAACCTCTTGGTTTGCTATTCTCAGTAGACAAAAAGGTGAAGGACTAGAAATTGACTAACAGAAGTTGCCAGTTTTAAGAATATTACGAGGGTTACGTTGGACAGTGATACTATCAAGCTAAGTTAGAAGTTAAGTAGAAGACTAAGTTAGACGTAGTACAAGAATAGTAGTAGAAAAATCAGATGAAGTCAGTCAGACTACTTAAAATGTTATTAGCTTTTAGTCTTGTGAATTTAATCTGTTTTAATAAATGCTATTAAACATTCAGAGTGAAAATACCAAAACATGTCATTAACATAAATGACCTTGTACTTACTTAATTTTACCATAGCATCGCCACCGCCATCAATGGCAAATAGGAGGAACTGCCCCTTGGCGTCATATGTAGATTTTAATGTCAGATTGCAGTGGAAGGCCAACAAGAACTTACGCTTGTCTAAGAGTGATCTGAAAAATACATTAATTTATTTTATTGTATTTTTTGTATTCACAACCTTTTGCACATATGACCGATCGATCGAAAATCAGATTCGTTACATCTGTATCGTTTTTCTTAAAAGTCACCGGTGGGATAATATACACAAAAGGGTCGAAAGTATGACCACGTGTCTGCCTTACGTTCCCAACTAAACTGGTTACCCATTCGCCTGCGCCGCAATCAGCGAGCTCTGACTTCTTTATATTCATTTCTAACCTCCCCATCCTCACCTACATACCTTGCACCCTACCTCCGTTTCTTGTCGTCTAATCACGACAGGAGTCTTCGCTCTGCAAATAATTTGCTTCTCTTATGCCCCTCTCACAATTCCGACTTCGTGAACTCTTCGTTCTTCGCTGAAGCAGTTCTGCTCTGGAATGCGCTCCCGGTTGAAATCAGGATGTCCACAAACCGTTCCGTATTCAAAAAGAAAGTACACAACCTTCTTCTTAATGAGACGGCAGAATCATCGAATCGAGAGTGCAGCAACCAACTTGCCTACACTCATGGTGTACAAATATAGTGCGAATATATGTCTGTATGTGTGTAGATACATATATATGTATGGTGTGTGTATGTGTATTTATATATATATGTGTATGTATATGTTTGTATGTATGTGTATATTTATGTGTGCTTGTGTATAAAATTACGTGTGTTGTGTTGTGTGGTGTATATCTTAGTGATTAGTGTTATAACCTATATGCGCCTAGCACTCATGATTTCTACACTACCTAAAGGTTGACTGGGAGAGAATGCCTTGGGCATTAAGTCCGCCTATGTACAAATGTGCATAAAGTTATAAATAAATAAATAAACCTACTCTTTAATCTCACACACAATAACATCAAATCTTATAAGTCATTTAAAATAATAATTTTCAAGGCTTTAATTTGTATAACAAATTAAATCGAGTAGTATACAATATACTCTCTTACAAAAATTAAATGCAGGTATGTGGTTGCGACGTCTGGATTATGTCTTTACTGAAAATCTCCTCACTAATAGTATTCGCATATAAGTCTTCACCTAATAATCCTCATACATATATACACACAAATACATACACACACACTTCAAATTTTTCTTATTTGTTCATTTCGTTTTCTCCTAAAATAATGAACAGAATGGGACATTGAGTGATGTTTACATTGTGTATTGTGATGGTGATTAGCACTACAGGCATCTTTTTCGCCTATCACAAACACCAGCTTTTCACATATAAAAAGTTTGTATAATTTTAAGATTTTTTTTTGTATTTTAGTAAGGCAAAATAAATTAATTATAATTATCATCTCAACTTGAAATACTGTGTAAATCTTCGTTCCCGGTTATTTTAAGACTTGTTTTTGGTTTTATATGTTTTAAAGTTATATTCACTAACACAGTAGAGCTAGAAACGAATGAACTACTCATATTATAATTTTATAGTCAGTTAAATATACATAATTATATATAGTTAAATATTTTATATTAATATGTAAATTATATTGTCAAATACATTTGATCTCTAAAATATTATTAAAATATTATCAAATCTATAGAAAAGTAAGTCCCCGTCATATTATACAACAGTGTATTAAATCTAGCGTTACTGTCATACCATTTTGAGTAAATATACTTTAAAACAATTTGACTAAACATAGTGCTGACAAGGCAGACTTAACTGAAATATAAAGCAATACATTTATTTTTAAATACTTACACAATGTTATCAACGACACATTTCTTGAAGCCTGTCATTTTCCCATTGTAAAAATTAAATGTTAAATTGTTCAGAGAAATGGTCAGTTTGTCAAATGTCATAGGATCCATGGATGGAACACCGAGCTCCGGTATACCTTTGACAACTCCAGGGATTGCATCTTGTGTGGCTTTTATAAGGCATTCCCTGGAGGTATCGCTGCAAGGGTGAATATAGTCCGCTGTAAATAGAATAATTTTATTAATTATTTTTTATGTTACGTGTTAAAAGTTTGGTAAACGACTAATGAAAACTATACGTAAATAATTCGCATCTTGGTTTAAATAATGTCAATATATAATAGTTTTTAAATCACATTGTTGATTAGCCTCGAGTGGAGGTAGCTAAATCAAGACTAGAGTTTTTAGTGATGTATTTTAATACTTCCTTGATAATACATTTACAAATAAATAAATTCATCATAAGAGTATTGAGTTAATCTAAAGAAATTAAAGATTTCAATTGCAATTTTTGTAACAGTTACCTGTTGCAAAAATTGCAATTGAAATCTTTAACTATAAGTAAAGTGGAGCTCCATCACGCTGGAACCCGCTTTAGGATAAACTTGATTTTTTAATTCTTTTTAGGGTTCCGTACCTCAGAAGGTAAAAAAGGAACCCTTGTAAGATCACTTTCTTGTCCGTCTGTCCTTGTGTCACCACCGATTTTCTGAGGAATAGTTAGACCTATTAAGTTGAAATTTATCCTAGATACTGAGGTCTATGGTCCCTATTAGGTGTATAAAAATCAAGGTCCTGAGTCAACACGATAAAAATATATGGGCAAATTTCGATTTTCGTGAAAACTTGTAAGTACCAAAATTTACCATAATTTTCAACTTTTTTTATCTTTCAATATTTTCTCTTTACTTGTGCTTTTATTGTATTGTTTTTTTTATTATATTTACCTTGCTTTTAAAAAACATTGACAATTCTAGGTCAACCGGACCCTTTAGGTATACCCTATAGGTTTTGGGTCGAAAATCTATATGGTAGTTCCCGTTGACTTAGAATCACGAAATTTGGCAAAAAGAAACGTCTTACAGTACAAATAAAGAAATGATTCCGAAAAATAAAAAAAAGTTGAAAATGAAGATAAATTTTGGTACTTACAAATTTTCGCGAAAATCTACGTAAAATCTGGGTAGGTACGGAAACCTCGGCGCACGAGTTCGACTCGTACCTAACCAGTTTTTTTTTTAACTAAAAACGTTGCTAATGAATCTAGTAATCTTTATTTTTTTTGTAATATAAATAATAGCGCGGCAAAAATAATAAATTATGCACAAAGCACTAAATATAAGAAATAAATAAAAAAAGTTTTGATACTAGCGCTAAATTGTTTGTAGTTTAATGTAGTTACAAATAAAAAAAAAAATTGAGCGCCTTCATTAAAAAAAAATCATTTAAACTTCGAGATGTCATAATTTGAGAGAAGAGGTTTGTAGCTTATTGTTATTTTTTTTAAATTGTTTGTAGTTTAATGTAGCAAGATCATCATTTACTTCCGAATGATTTCGATTGTTTCGATTTCCGAAAATTTCGAAGGTAACAAAATTTAAATAAGTCATCTCACAAATCTGTCATATAGTAATATACCTATACCTATATATGTATACCTATACATATTAATACCTAAATACAGTATAAAAGTATATAAACACATACATGCACACGCAAATAGATACTGATAACAATTTTGTATTATAATAAAAAGAAATAATGAGCAAGTTGATTCTGCCAGTTGTTTGACCAGTTCTTTACTTATTTAAATTAGTAGGTACAGAATAAATGACAACCGAGACAGGCAGATTTTTAGAAGTCTTCTATTTTCATTTCTTTTTCCGATTAAACTGTCATATTAACCTTCTATGTAGGTACATATATGAGTATATAGCGTTATTATACCTGTGTAAAGCATTCATCATCGACATCAACATCAACATCAAAAGGCTACTAGCCTACTATACCACGCTGGCCAGCAGCAGACATAAAGCATTAGCGTTTCTTTTTATGTTAGAGGGGGCAGACGAAGGGACGGATCACCTGATGCAAAGTAACCAACGCCGCCCATAAACGTCTGCCACTTAGAAGTCACAAACGCGTTGCCGGCCTTTCATGAAGGAATTCGATCTTTTCTTGAAGGTTTGAAGATCGTATCGCTCCGGAAATATCGCAGACGATAACCCGTTCCACAGATTGGTTGTGCGGGGCAAAAAGTGTTTCGAAAAGCGACTACTTCAACTATCCAGGCGATGAGGATGAAAATTTTGCCGTGTGGAACGATGGCGGAAAGTTGCGACTGGTATTAGTTCGAACGATTCCTCGGAGCACTCTCCATGATATTTGCAATAGAGAATTCCGAGTGAAGCCACATCTCTACGTAACGCCAAGGGATCGAGCCGAGCCAGAGCCGAGATGTTTGAGCTATCGACGATCCGAGTCGCTCTTCGTTGCTCTCGTCCAGAAGGAGAAGCTGGCACTGAGGTGCCCCTGCATAGAGATAAGAACAGTATTCCATATGCGGCCGGACTTGTGCCTTATAGAGCTGAAGGCGATGGGCCGGAGTGAAATCCTGCTCCGATTTGTTCAGCACACCAAGCTTCTTCGAGGCCAATTTTACCTTACCCTCTAAGTGACTCTGAAACTGGACTTTGCTCGAAATGTCGATGCCTAGGATTCCGTTACTGGCTGAGGCAGGGAGGTGCTCTTAAACTGAGGTGATACGACAAATGGTATCTTCTTTACGCACAGACCTGTGTCTTTTTTGGATTGAACTGGACTAGATTTAATCGGCCCAATCTGAAACCTCCGCTAAGGAAGTTTCAATTTCAGACACAAGTTTGTTTCGACTCTCGATGACGTTTTCCCTAGAAATATTGGCGAAGCCGGTGTAAAAGGCATCGCCCGTGCTATCATCTGCATAGCAATGGATGTTACTAGTTTGCAACATGTTATTGATATGCAGAAGAAACCCAGTCTCTCACCGATCCGGCTGATGTGCTCCGATTTTGCCCTAGCAATGGCTCTTTTAAGGGACCTGGAGGCAAAGTTAAATTGTTTTTTTAGCGTGCAGGTATTTACATCGCCTGCCGTCGCTGCATTTGACCATGCTTGGTAGCATTCCCGGTTTCGGCGGGACGACGTTTTGCAGGATCCGTCGAACCAGGGCTTGGATCTGCCTCCGATGGGAATTAATGTAGAAGGAACGAATAGTTCCATGCCCTGAAGTACTACATCGACGGTGGGATCATCCGGCAAGAAACAGACCTGTCTCCATGGGTAGGACGCAAAGAAGGAACGCATTCCATCCTAGTCCGCTAACCTATAGTGCACTACATGGCGGCAGCCTGCAACTCGAGACCGCGGCAATGTCGTACGGTATTTGAAATTTAATTACTCAATTTACAATAAAATAAAAATATCATAACTCTTTTATAAAATACGTGTTTTTATTTTAAAATGAAAAAGTGCACTCTTTCTGTGACATCCTTTATACAATAATTTTACTATTCGAATCAAAAATGACTTCCTATACATTTTATAAATGTTTAGTTTTACTGTGAAATTATAATTGTCCTAAATTGACTATCAGCTTTGCTAACGAAGGTCACCAAGACGTGGCACTTCGTATCCTTTAAAAGCTATCAAATTAAATTTTGAGTGGTAAAGGCTATAGCTATTGGTCGTTATTACATCATTATCATTAATCATCACTAAAAATATCTTGAAAACCAAAAAACAAAAAGCAATAACTTGGATTTAAATTTGTTATGCAGGATATTACGTATATTATTCGTATTTCTAAATAATCGAATTATGATAATTAGAATAACAACTACAATAGCATTATTGAATATGTAATTATATTAACTAGTAAATTTAAAATTAAAATGTAACAAGTACGCCAGGAACCCAAGGATCACCAATTTTACTGTTCACAAATTCACATCACAATTGGGAATTAGGGTATACTTAAAAAAATTCGTCTTCAAATGCAAATTCAAAAATATACATTTGCTATATAGGCGGTGGTACATATTGTGGTATTAAAGGTTTAATATCAGGCCCATTTAGAAATGAAAATAGGATGCAAATTATACATTTTACTTAAGTATTAGAAATATTATTATTATGGTTCAATCAGTTTATGTGTAATGATGAAAATTTAACTTTTATTTATTATACCTACTACTCTCCACCATTAAAAAAGTCAGTATTAGTCATTCTCGTAACTGGGCTGGGACCAACTTATTTAAGGGTAGTTCTTTGAATCGTTCCGGGATTTTATTGAAGACTTTAACGCACATCGCGTAACAATTATTTTTGTAATTTTGTCGACCTATGTACCATATTTAACACAAGTCTATTTGGATTTCTAATGTTGTTCCTTTTGGTAGCATTCTTCGCTTGCTTAAATGCTAGGGGGGCTGCTTTATAAATTTGCATACCTCGAGGATGTACAAGCACGGTAACGTAAGGATCCTAGTTTTTTTTTAAATATAGCTGATAATTAGAGACCGGATTATATGCATTTGCATATTTGCATTATGCTTTTGCTTATTTAAGCCATTCTCAACGGTAATAGCATATTTTACCTAAGATCTAGTTATAATGCATATTATCGGTACATTTACAATATTTTTCCGAGTGGAGTGCATTCACCCTGTGTTCCGAAATGCGATAAAAGCGATAATATCGCGAATTCGACCTGGAACGCAGTCAGTAGCCGCGCGAGTCTTTGGAACGAAGTTCCTTATCGCGCGTTGTGAAAGGGGGCTAGACGGAAAAAAATCTCACGAAAAGTTGTAACGACACTTTTTATTTTGAAATTGTCACTTGGCAGTTATTCAGCGCCATCTATCGAATAGATAGGAAATCATTACTTTTCATCTCAGTAAAATTAAAATTTATGTTCTTAGGTTGAGCAAAAAATATTGCAAGGAGATTTTACCAATGTATAAATTGTTTTAATTAGAAACCAACTGAAAAATATGTAGGTAATAGCCGACTGAATAATGCTCGCTGTAGAGCATCTGACCAGCAACCTCAAGTAAAATTTGAAGTATTTTTTAAAGTTACTTAAAACCTTTTTTAAATCTCGATTAGAAGCGCCACATGTTCCATCTCGCTTGAGACAGAGCTTATACGTTCGTTGAGTTCTAGAATACAGATTCAGAAATTTCTTTTTTTTGGATTTATCGTTATACATGAACAGCTCAGGCTTATGCAAATAGATACATTTACACATATAAATATTTACACTGAATGGGAATCAAACCGACTGACGTTGCAATTAAAGCATTGTACTCGCACCTAAAATCAAAAGACATTAATTATATTATTATTAGGCGGGCCTCTTGTTCTACTGGTTAATGACCCTGACTGCGGAAGTCGTGGGTTCGATTCCCACCTAGTACAAATATTGATGAGCACGGTCAGTTGTTCTGTGTCTGGGTGTAATGTAAATATAATATGTATGTTGTTAAAAATATATAAACATGTTTATCAGCAGTCTGGTTACTATAGCACAGGCTCTGTCTAATTTGGGATCAGACGGCCGTGTGTAAGATGTGTGAGATATGTTAATATTATATTATTATTCTCTTTATTCCATTAAATAAACAATTAAATTAAAATTTTAAATATACCCTGACTGCTAAGTTTGATTATTATTTGTCCTGGTTGGGAATCGAATCCACGTCTTGTTCAATTGTGGGAATCGTAATTAATCTATTATTACTCGTATATGTATGTATTTAGAAATATTTAAGTATGCTTATCATCCAGTCTGGTTACCATAGCACAGGCTATGCCTGGTTTGGGATTAGACTGCCTTATCTGAGATGTGTGTCATTATTATTATCAGTATTATTTAATCAGTAATTAATTTTTCATTCAGTCATTAGTGTTATTTGAACTAATGTAGTTTTTGTGATAATATACCTAATCAAAAATTATTTACATACTTACTCGTATATATTTTATACACAAAACGGCTACCAAAATTAAATGTACATTTACATATTCATAAAAAGAAGTGTACAATAGGTTTTAATTATCCTTTTTTTATCTAATATCGAGCTCATAGCAAAAATAGCAACTTATTTTACATTGAAAATGTTATCATTTTTTTCATGTTCTGGGCATACATATCTTATTGCCAAGTAAAATTTAATACCAATTAGATATGTAATGTATATGTATGCCCGAAAGGCAATACCAAACATACCTTTAGTTCAGCTTTGATGAAATTATTATAACAGATACCTTTCCATATATAAGTAAGTCATTGACATAAGATCGAGTGAAAATGGTTGGTCTAGAATAAGGTTTACAAAACCTTTTTAACTTGCAAACAATATGCGTGTCAGTCCAAACGTGTCGTTTAAAAGTAATACCAGGACATATTTTACATAGTTAGTTAGTTAGAAACCAGTCAAGCAATGTGACTTAATTGCCATGATATCGCGTGATTATGTATATAATTTATAACTTACAATAACGCCTTGAGACATCCTGCACACAACCGTCTGATCTCAAAGCCAAGCCATGACAAATATTATGTGAACAACACAATCGTTGGTTACGTATCTGTTGTAATTTATCCTCAACATGTATGTATTTAGAAATACATAAGTATTCTTATCAGCATTATGGTTACCAAATTACAGGCTTTGTCGAGTTTAAGATCAGAGGGCAAATGCAAATTTATTTCACATCGACTCAATCACTCGCACTTGGCCCTTAGAGGGCTAAGTGCGAGTTTATTTCACATCAACTCGCTGGTCACGGTGACCGCGTTCGGCGTTGCGATTGGCCCGCACTGAAATCTCCACCAATCGCATCGCTATCGCCGTTAAGAGCGAGTATATGTGAAATATACTTACACTAGGCCCACAGATGGCCGTGCGTGAGACGTGTAAGGTTATTGTCATTATTATTTCCCAACAATTAGAACCAGACACAGAACGAATGATCGAGTGTATTACGATACCATTTATAACTTATTAGTATAAAATCTGCAGCACGAATCCAAACGTTCGTCGTATCGTCATACCTATAAAATTTAAATGGTTTCTACCTAACATGTATCGGTATTTGTGGCATTGCGTTAACTCATAGATGATATTGGTTCGACAACATTCAAATGACTTCTTTAGACTTGCAGCTTTTTGTCATATATCTTATTAAATGGCAAGTATTTAAATACATTCACGAAGGTAAAAATAACTACAGCGAGTATGACGGCATATCATTGTGTAAAAGTACGTGCATATAATACTACCAGGAAGTGCACAATCACAATACCTAGTATAGAAACTGGATTACATAAATATATGCGTACATATGTATATATATACGTACATTTATAAATATGCCTGATATATTCCTTTTCCTATACTTGAAGAACTTCTTTAAAAATATCTATTGCTTTAAAAACAATACTTCTGTTATTTATATGTTTAAATTTATAAAACACTGCATCTAATTTATTTAGGAAATACGTTATTAAAATATATATTATTACTAAATATATCAAACTGTATCTTGAAATATTCACTGTTGACAAAAAAATACAAATTGTGTGTAATATTTACTAAATGATTAGGATATAACTAAAAAAAGGTGATAAAGAAATCTATTAGGTGTTAAATATAAATACAAGTTAAGGGAATAATATATCTAGAACTCACGTGCTAATTTAGCGTTTCCATAATGGCATATAAATATTACAAAAAATATCAGAAAACTACTTTTATTTGCCACTTGTATATTCATTTTTAGGGTAACTATGCTTGACAACTAAAGGTGTTTCAACAACTGGATGAACGTGACCGTGTGACTGCTATATATCTACGAGTATAATTGAGACTTTTTTACTCTCTTGGTTATATTATACGGGTCGCTGGTCGCTGGACGAGTTTTAGCACCAAATTATTTAAATAGCAACTAAGGAAATATTTTTATTACCTTATTTAAGTTAAATAAATACGACCTTCCTTAGCCTCAATACTTACCTTTGTCCTTAATTTTTTTATTCTGTAAATAGAAATGTGTGCCTAGAATTTATAAAATAGAATTTTCAGGTTAATTTCAATTTTTTTTTTATTTTGTTGAACAAAATCCATCAACATTCTTGTTATTAATAATCATTCGTGTCAGCCTTCTGTCATATGAAATATTAGCTTCAGTAATCAGTCAATTTCGACTGCTTGGATGGCGTAGTGGTTAAGCGGTCGCCACGCCGCTTCCTACTACGCCGAATGTTGTGGGTTCAAATCCCTTATGGGACGACACTTTGTGTGATCCACAATTTGTTGTTCAAAGTCCGGCTGTTCTTTGTGTCCGTTTCATGTATGTTTGTAAAGTCCCTCGCGACACAGGATATATTCCTAATGCGGGAGTTGTCTTTTTAAAAAAAACAAATTTAAGTTGTCACTTTCTCTTTTCATCTACTGTACAACCGCATAATAAAAATAGACCATTATTTATATTACACCACCACAAACAACGTAATATAGAATGATTTATAAAAGTAAGTGCAAAGACAAAAGTCATAGTTTAGGGTGGACTGGAGCCTAACCTAGGTCAATACCTGTATTTCAGGACTCCAAGATTCACGGTTAAGTTGGCCGACGTAATTATGGTGATGTATGTTTATGTGAAGTGTACGTCACTTAACAAACGTGATAAGTGATTCTGTGTTATAGAATGTAATACTGACTGTGAAACCAGAGGCCATGGGTTCAATTCCCACCCAGGACAAGATTCTGTGATAAGCATAAATTATAATCATTCAATTCGTGAAAACCTGTAATTGGCTTGATTTAGTATATCAATCTGTTCATAAATATTTTGTAGCTCAAGAGCTAGGAAAATCAATGTTTTCCTAACTGAAGTAAATAAATAATTATTAATATTTATTTACTTCAGTTAGGAAAACGTTGGCAAAAAGTAAAATTGCAAATTGTAGTTAAATTTTAAATACCAGATTACATTAATTCGTGTGTCTGTGTGTATGCGTGCGTGTCGGTGTGTTTGTAAATCTTTGGAATTATGTAGTTATGTTACGAGATATCAATAAGAAATAGCGACTAAGGATTCTACTTGTTTAGTCACCAGAGGCTATTAGAGGAGCAGTGAATGAGTATGTTTCATTTCAAACGAGGTTTCATAACCTCATTTGAAATGTGTGATGTCTGTCTTCCAACAGTTCATACTATTGGATGACATATACCCTATCATAACCGTAGCAATTGTAATTCACAATAAAAAAAAAACTCTCTTACAGAATTATAGTAGCGTAAGCTATATACTCAGGTACTCTATTAACCCCAACAACAAGTACCTACTCGAATATTGAAGCATATGACGTTAAAGTTCGGAGATTTCTCACGTCGTCGTGGTGCCATACATTTCGTGAAACAGAAACATTTATCGTTCTTGTGTTAGATATATTTCACATCAGTGGTATAAAACCGAATATAGAAATACAGTAGAAACTAAGTTTTTATTGAAATCGGTGCTATTTGATGCACCTGAAATGTTAATGTTTAAATGAGTAGGTACTTACAAAAAAGCTTTGTTAGATTTATTTACTTAAGGCGTAGACGTTTCTAATTGGTTAAGAGCCATAACTTTTAAAACGATATCACATCGTCATTACAAGGAAACAAAAAAAGGAAGAGGTACAAGTATAAATTTTCAAAGGACAGGTGGTAAGTCTCTTACAATTGTATGCATTAATAGAATACGGAAATTATTAACTGTTAGGAGGGCTATATACTTGTTCGACACTGACACAGACTAAAAAGAAATGACTAAAACAGAAATGGCTTAGCTCTAATTAGTGAGAATAGTATTGTTTTTATTTAATATATGGCCCAATAAATATTTAGAAGTTTACTAAAATAAGTAACGTTCACTCTGTAAATACGAGGAATAAACAAAATCTTAGTGGTCATATCACTCGTCATCACAAAGTAGGCAATTCGTTCATGGGACAATGTATACGCTTTTACAATAAACTCCCTGTTGATATTAGGCATTTATTAATACGAATACTATTTGTGCCGACTTCCACATACAAAGAAATAGAAACATACTACAGCGTCATCTAACGAAGAAAGACCGAACTACGGAGTAACTGCTAATTCTTTATCGCAATATGAAGAATTATCATTATTAGCCTACGTGGTTCTTCTTGTAGACCCCAGCTAGGATCTCGGGGTCTTGTCTTGGTCACGGCCTGTTTTGGCGTGGCTAATGAGGTCGAGCCAGTTTCGTCCATTGTAACCCTCTATGCTTGGCGAGGTCGAGGTCCGAAGGGTGGTGACCTCCAGAAGCACCCGTCAGCCAGCATCAGTTCGGGTGTTGAGAACGGTTCGGTGGGAATTTTCGCGGCGATTAAGTCTCGCAGCCATGCCTGTTTGGCGGTCGCCGATGGTAGGGTGCGAGTACTCGCAGGTGGTGGGTTTGCGAGCTGTCGCAACCGGTGGCAGTTTGTCTCGGATACGAGCGCGAACCAGGCCAGAGCACCATAGGTGAGTCGGGTGCGAATGTACGCCTTGTAGATACTGAGCTTCGCACGGAGCGGCAATCGGGACGATAGTGTGGGCCGCAGAAGCGAATATACAAATGCCCAAAAATGACCGTTGAATAACGATCCGCTAGGCATGATCACCTTGCCTGGTTGGAGAATCCTCAATAATATCGAATATCTCAATAATAAAGCCGCCTGGGATTGAGCTGCTCATTTTGTACATCTTGTTTTAATTTATTTTCAATATTTACGTTTCTTTTATTTTTGATTTTGAAGTGACGATATTTATTATTTGTTACAAATTTATCTATATTTCTATTTTTTGACATTCCTTTATGCTTTGTAACTGAGAGATAAATCTACATAGTTGCACTTAAATCAGATTGTCCGGACTTTAAAAGAGATGATAATACCTGACTTTATTTTGTCCCTTCTTCTCAAGGCTAGTCAAATTAAGACAGGCTGTAAAAGTTTGGTATGTAAGAACGTGTATGTGTTGTAAGAACATTTTTTTCTTGTAACCTATTTGCAGAAGAAGCGATTTCATTTAATTTCATTAATTAAGAATAGGATGTTAAATTTAAATACTTTATCTTATAGACTCTATCTTTATTTACATAATTTTATACTTACCAAATTTTCAGACAAGCTGAGAAGCAGAGAGCAATTCTTCATAGTTTTGCATGACAATTTAAAAAATATATAATACAATGTCAGCTATTGAGTTCATACAGATGTTTTTGTAGACTTTACAGTCAGAATAAACAGAAGCTGAAAAATATTTCAAGCTATGTTACACAACGATAATGTTAAGATGAACCACGTCTAAATGGTCAAATCCATAGAAAAAAGATGGAGTAATTGATTACCTACCACTACCACTAAAAACACTACCACAAATAAAAAATTAATAACAAAAGTATGTATGTAAAAATGAGTAAAAGACTCTTGCAGGTCTGCAAAGGTTCTAGGCTGGTTTTAATAAAAAAAAGCGCAAGTGTTGGGTAGGATCCAGCGGTTGGGCCTGGAGGTAGCTTTGCACAAGTCCAAGGTATTACCTTCAGGGTCCTATATCATAGTGGGAGGCGTCCGCATCGGCATCGAGCGTATGATGAAATACCCAGGCCTCGTCCTCGATAGCCGATGGGATTTCAGGTCGCACTTTAGCAAGGCTCTCATCGAACTTAGGGGGGCCCAATGCATCCTGCAAAGCTGTATGTGGGGATTTTTCGGTCTACGGGGCACCAGTATGGCCAAATATTCTGACGGCCCGAAATATCCTGATTTTGTAAAGGTCACAACATGCGATTGCCATTAGAGTGATAAGAGGGTACCGTGCCACCTCCGTACACCTTATAAGCCTTGTTTACAGTTTTATATATACGAGGAATGAAAGTTAATTTGCTATACAAAATAACTCCCAAATCACGTACCTCAGTGACTCTACCCAAAACCCTAATATTCAATCTGTACTCGAAAATGATAAGTTATTGTTTTGGCATACAAATTCAAATTTATTCAAGTCATCTTGGAGTAAATTACGGTCTATACTTTTACGTATAATACGAAAGATTTTTATGCCGTCGGCATAAAGCAGACGTTTGAGTTCTTTATGTTTTCTAAGATTAATATATAGGATGAATAGCAAAGGCCCTAGATAGGAGCCCTGAGGCTTATAGATTTGTATTGAGATATAAAACCACTAACTGCTGCAGCCTGGCTTCTGTTTATAACATAGCAAGTTATCCAACGGAAAAGATCGCCATGCACACCAAGTTTCCAAAGCTTTAATAATAGGGTATTGTGACAGATTTTATTAAAGGCCTTGGCAAAATCTGTATAGATCGCATCGACTTGACATTTATTCTCCATAGCGTTCACGATCATTTCTGTAAAATTAAGTAGATTTGTGTCTACACTGCGACCCTTAAAGATACCATGCTGGAACAGACATATATTTCACCTAGTTCATATAGTATGTGTGACGTAGGGATGTTCTAAATCAGGGTGAGCTGCCAGTGTCTCGAAAAGTAGATGCACATCAGGCTGAACTCCGCCAGATCTTGGTGGCAGAGTGGGAGCAACGTCTTGTGCGACCTCGTACAGGGCATGCCGCCATAGCGGCGGTAAGAAGTGTCCGTTTTTTTTAACGCAGCAAAGGCTATTTGCACCATAACCTCCGTTGGGGAAACGGAGGACGTGTGTGCGACTCCCGGTCTACAAACTAAATCTTTTT